CCTCCCTCCCTCCCTCTCCTCTCTCTCTCTCTCTTTCTCTCTCTCTCTCGTCTTTCTCTCTTTCTCTCTCTCTCTCGCTCTCTCTCATCTCTGTCTCTCTCACATCTCTCTCTCCTCTTTTTCCTCTCTCTCTCTCTCTAATTTATATCTATATATTATTGTTTCGCATTATTTGTTTTCTCTCTCTCTCTCTCCTCTCTCTCTCTCTTCTCTATCTCTCTCTCTCGCTTTATTTTTGTTTTATTATTTTGTCTCTCTCTCTCTCTCGTCTCTCTTCTCTCTCTCTCCTCTCTCTCATCTCTCTCATCTCGCTCTCTCTCTCTCTCTCTCTCTCTCTCTTCTTTCACTCAGTCTCTAATCTCTCTCTCTCCCTTTTCCTCAATTTTTTCTCTCTACCTCTCTCTCTCTCTCTACCCCTCTCTCCTCTCTCCTCATCTCTCTCCCCTCCCCTCTCTCTCTCTCTCTTTCTATTTCTCTTTCTCTCTCCTCTCATCTCTCTCTCTCTCTCTCTCTCTCTCTCTCTCTCTCTTTTTTCTCTCCTTGATTTTTTCCATTTTTCCTCCGCTCTCTCTCTCTCTCTCTCTCTCCCTTTCTCCCTCTCTCCCTTTCTCTCTTTTTTCCCCTCTCTCTCTCTCTCTGTCTTTCTCTCCCTCTCTCTCTCTCTCTCTCTCTCTCTCTCTCTCTCTCTCTCTTTCACGCTCTCAGCAGTACCGAGTGGTGCCTTCTCGATCAACATCGAGAGCCTGTGGCCGAGAGTTGGAAAATCGTCAAGTCAGTGGTTTGATAGATTGGAACGCCAAGAGGGACTCTCTCCTAACGCACCTCAAGCCGGCCTTCATCGAGGGCAACGGGGAGATGCGGTTCCCGTCACTTGCTCTCAAGCGGACGTGCATTCATTGCTCTGTGCGCACACTTCTTCCTCCTCTTCTTCAGCCCCATCATCGCCCTGCCCACCCATGCCACCGACATGTTCCACGCTGTGTGAACAACCGACCTTGTTCATTCTAGTTAGGGAGTTTGCATCTCGACGCCGAGAAGCATGGCTCGCGAAGTTCGCTCAGAGCTCCCTGAGGCACTACCAGACCCTCGGGCCGATTCTTTGGGATCTCGAGGAGCAATGGCGCAGGTTTCACCACGAAGATCGGGTACGTCACGAGGAATGTTCATTGACTCTGGATGCGTTAGAGTCAGAGGAAGAGACATCGAGCTCGGAGTCGTTCCCGCGCAGGGACGACACATCAGGTTCATGGAGGAGGTGGATGACAGCGAGGCGCCCCCGTGCCTGGAGCTGGAGCAGCTCCGTTTCGTGATGCCGTACCCGATCCAGCAGAATATTGCCGCACGAACGGCGGACAGTTTTGTTCGTGAGATTCTCAAGAAAGGCTCCGACTACACGATGGGGGGCATGGGGGCTCAGCTTCGGATGTGGTGCTGGGAGCGTCGTGACCATCAGCACATCAGGGCCTACCTCGCGACTTTCTTGGCCATGCTATGTGATTACGTTGGCAATCGACCGACAGACCTCCGCCCGTTTCGAGGAGTTGCCCTGTGGAGCACTATCGGAGTTATCCTAATCATGTCTGCTCTTTGTCGCCTACGCCATGCCTTCATGATGCCAAAGATGCCTAGGTGGGCTCGGCGTGTCTTGCGGATGCTTCCCCCGGAATGGCGTCGTGGAGTGCGCAACTGGGATGGGCCGATCGTGTCCACCGCGCTCTCCAGTGTTCTTGGCGTGAGTTGTGAGCCGCATCGAGCAGTAGTGTACATCCTGGGCAGCTACGCGTCCTATTACATAGGAAAAGCATGTTTCAGAACGGGTGCCCTCCCTGGACTTCTAGGGCGTCTCCAGGAACACGTCCGGGCCCTTCTACATCCTCCGGTTCGACCGGGAAACCGACCTCGACATTGTGAGTTCCGGCGTTCTGGAGGCCCGTTGTTTTTCCTACCAATACTGTGGGTACCCTCAGAAGCAGCAAGTTTCCATTTCGAAACTCTCGCGATTCGGAGGTTTCCGCCGTCGGCGAATGCAGCTGATGTTCGAGAACCTGAACAGCTAAGCTTGCGACGGGGCTTGGGGATCCTCTACCTACCTCCTAAGATGAAGAACCGACCCCGACGGCGGCCCCCCTCTTGGCGACGACCACCGCCCCGACGCACTCCTCCCCCCGTCTGGCTGACATCAGCCCCTGCCCACGTGGAGGTCACCCCGAGGCCCATCGCAGGTCCCCTCAGCCAGCGCCCAGGAGCCCTGTCAGAACCCGCCCCGTGCAGCATGCTCTACACCCTCCAGATCACAGAAAGGTTCCTCCTCACCAATGTCGAGGGCCCCCTTCTGGCTTCTTGGTCGTGAGCATCTGGGACTTCTTCTGGCGTATCTAGCAGCGAGATGGCGATCGTTGCCTGCGTGTGCATTCCTATTACGCTTGGAAGTAGGTGCGCTCCTGTTCAAAGCAGCAGGTCTAGCTGGAGAGTTCCTGCAGAACTTCAACAGGGTCAGAGTAGCCAAATTCCACATAGACCGCCATTTGAAGTGTCTTGGGTTGCCAGCAGCTCGGAGGCCCCACTTGAAGCTACCCTTTGAGTACCAGGTGAGGCACCTCCTGCATGTAATCAAAGGGGCCATGCAGTCAATGGCGAACCAGATGCGGTATGCTCCAGCACGGGAATGGCATGCTCAGCCTCCTCGTGTTTCCTTTCGTGCACGTCGGATCTGGAAAGATCGAGTGTCGGCGAGCCGCTGGTGTGCATCGTATCAGTCGTCTTGCCTGCCTGAGTCAGTTATCTCATCCAACTTTGTGTCAGGACCACTACATTTGAAGCAGCTGCCAGGCTCGTGGCGGCTACCCGTTTGGTGCGTCCCCCGCGTGGCCTTCAGGAGTGCGAAGGTATGTCTCTTGGAATGGGCACAGGCAGCCCGACTTTCTCAGCCAGTTATCCGACGAGGGTCGGATTATTTGCAGAAAAGGTTCTCGTCACCTCTACCTCCAAAGCTAAGCGTGGCCCTACCTCAACACCCGCCCCGCCGGCACTTCCTAGAGCAAGAAATTCAGGCATCATTGGAGCAAGCATGCAGCGACATTTACATTGCAGATGACAAGCAGTGTGACAAAATATGGGTGGCAGATGGGGGTGATGTGGCACGATGGCTTCACCAAACAGCTGAGCCAGACAAAGACTGGAAAGTACGGTTGGATATATCTAAGTATGGTGCCGCTTTATGGCTATGGTCTAGGGCTCTCCATGGACTTCCCCCCTGGCTACGCACTAGGAACATGCTACCCCGCCCCGCAAAAAAAGACGACTCCGCCGTGCGTGTTCCCGACCGTCAAAAGCAAGCGCTTTCTTCCTGATGGTGTGCGTTGCTGTGCGAAACCGGGTCGCAGCTGTATGCGCCGTATTGTCAATTCGGCAGATGCGCCAGGGGCAGCAGGGCATCGTGCGATCGGCAGGGCTACGAGACACCTTCTTCGTGAGAGTGAGGTATCGTGCGAAGTCTTTGACATGAAAGGCGCTGCTCGTGAGATTAACCGCATCGTCCAAGACCTTGGCCCACCCAGTACTGATGTGTGCCTCCGCTGCTCTTGCCATCTCCCATCCATCTCGATTGTGGTTGCTGATGCAGATCAAGCATATGAACAGTGCAATTCTATTCTCATTGGTCAGGCACGGAAGGAGGTATCCGCAGAAGTATCCCATCGTCTAGGAACAGATGCAGCACTAGTTAAACGTGGAAAAGAAAACAACACCAAAACGCTTCGATCGGGAACCCCACCAACATATTTCGAGATAACTATTGCAAATATTACTTCGGCGATGTTAGCATATTGTTGGTTGTCTTTAGTGACGATTGGTGGGCTTGTCTATGAACTTAGAGGTTTACCAATTGGTGGTGTATTATCAGGTGTGGCTTTACCGATATTACTTGCGTGGTTTGAACTCCGAGCCTCCCGTCGACCTCAACAGTTTCAGGTCCATGGTTTCCAGATATCGTCGTCCTCAGGGAAGGTGGAGATTCGACAGCGTCGGTATGTTGACGACATCCTAGGTGTTAGCAAGGTTTATTGCAGGCAATGTGTCTACTTCTACCTGTCCCAGGTCTACCAGGTCAAGCTCTCCCCAGCCTCGTACCTCCTGGACCCTCAGGCCCCGTGCGTCTGGCTGGACCTGGAGTTGTGGCCCTCCGAGCATAAGATCTCCATTCGCCCGAAGAATGAGAACCGCGTTTGGCTTCTCCAGGGTTGTGCAGAACCCCGGCCAAAAACAAATATTCTTCCTTGGCCTGGACTTCCGCCCAGAGGGTTCAATCTGGTGGTCTCTCTCTCTCTCTCTCTCTCTCTCTCTCTCTCTCTCTCTCTCTCTCTCTCTCTCTCTCTCTCTTCACAGGACGCCTCGCGAGAGCCCAATATCTGAGCTTACCTGTGAGTGTGGTGACGTCTTGGGTCCTGGAGCTCGTCTTGGAGCTGTTTGTTATGGGATATCCCTCGAAGCTCATCATCGCCTCCCTGCAGGCATGCCCCTGGTCCGTGGCCATGCAGACGGCTCGAGCGACGGTGAGGTGCTGGCGACGTTCCTTCCTCCATCCGACCGAGATGGGATCCCGTGGGCCTCGTCAGCCCTGGGTGCACAAAGGTGGTGGCCGCGAGGGTAAGGGGACCCCCTGCAACTACAGCTACCAGGATCGTGGTCATGATTTTCGACGTCGTGACGGCAGTTGGGATCGTGAGTGCAGGTTCAGCCCTGACCGTCGTGGACCTCGGGATGTGGACCGTCACTACCGCGACTCTCGGGGCTCCAGGGAGCAGCGGGACTACTACCGTGACACCCGTGATGTACGCGACATTCGGGAGTACCGCGAGCATCGCGACCATCGCGATCACCGTGATGCGCCATATGACCGCCGCTCAGATCGTGATGATCGTGGCCGTGGCTCAGACCGTGGGGGCCGTGACCGTGGCCAGAGCCATGGTCGCCGCCGCTCCCGCTCTGCCTCAGGCAGGAAGGTGGGCGTCCAGCGCTTCCGTGACGAGCTGGCGGCAGTGGATCCTGAGTTCAAGGCATCGCTCAAGGACAAGGAGGACAGGAAGGGGGAGATGCAGCTTCGCAAGAAGGGTGAGTACGCTGCGATGGCCATGACATCGAGCTTCGGGGACCAGCTCAGCAAGCCCCATCGAGGCCTCGGACGGCAACAACCAGCAGAAGAAGTCTACCGCGGGCGAGCGCGAGGCGAGCCCGACACCGGTGGCGGAGGCCCCCGCCAGCACGGCCCTTCTCAAGCGCGCGGAGATCGGCTGGCTCCAGTCCCTCATCGGCGGCAAGAAGCAACTCGGCACGCGCATGTCCTGGGCGGAGGCAGCTCAAGTCTTGGAGGCGCGCACGGTAGACAAGACAGTGGTCGCGCATATCAACAAGTGCATCGCGGCCCATCTCCCGAAGCGCCCTCCACCTACGAGCAAGGCGACGCGTGTGCAGCTTGTCCTGGGGATTATTAACGGCAGCGCCCTCTGAGATGTGAGTGCCGAGGCCGTTGCAGCTGACACTGACTCCGAGGGCGGAGACATCTGCCAAGAGAAGAACTTCGCGATATCGAGTCGACCACTTCGTGACTGGATCATTCTGGGTTTCGTGATTGGCTGTTGCGTGGCTCTCATTGTGAATATCTTGGTTCCAGTAGAGGAGTGGAGGATGATCCAAGTTGCCCGCGCGTACCTCACCCTGCATTGGACACATGCTCGGGGGGCTGGAATGCTACGAGAGTTATCTAGTATGTTTGCACTTCCGTTCGCGATAGCAAATGACCAGGAGCAGGCAATAGTCCGTCACATGATCACGGGCATGGTAGGGGCCTCGATCCCAGCGATGGCAGGTCAACTCCCATTTGGCAGTGCTCTGACTCTCCCCCCTAGGCTCGTAGCCCACCCCGCACAGTGCCAGGGAACGAAACCCCGTAAGGTGAAGCAGGTTTGCGATGCGACCTCGGATCCGATCTCTCTTAGGATTTTGACGCCCAGGTCTCTGATATACCCTGCCCTCTCCTTCTTAAGTATTGTCCCTGCCTTCCCCCCCCCCCCCCGACTTTCTGAAGTAAGGCTCCCAGAGGTGTGCTAACGCCGTGAGCTGTTCCCTGAGGTGCGACCCGCGCCATGTGCCTTTCCCTCTTGTCTTCCCCCTCCTAGCTGCAGGCCCTCCCCTCTGTGCCCTCGGAGGTCTTGATTGTAGGTCGCGCAAGCTGCACCTTAGAGACGAACTCAGACCCAGAGGATTATCCGTTTCAAGTCCCCACTGCCCGTGGAGAGTGCGTGGCGCCAGCTCGACTTGATGTTCCAGCGTGTGCCATGCTGTCAGACTATGCGCGTGGAGCACTCAACCCCTCTTCAGACGAAATGTGCTTTCCCCTTTAAGGTCACCTCCCCCCCCACCCCCCCAGAGAGCTGCTGCTGCTGACTGACCAGCCCTGCAGTGCCACGAGGCGCGCGATGGGCCTCTCTCTCTCTCTCTCTCTCTCTCTCTCTCTCTCTCTCTCTCTCTCTCTCTCGCTCTCTCTCTCTCTTCCTCGCTCTCTCTCTCTCTCTCTCTCTCTCTCTCTCTCTCTCTCTCTCTCTCTCTCTCTTTCCCACCTGAGAGCATATTTCTCTTGTCCTCTCTCTCTAGTCCTCTTGCTCACCGTGCACTTCAGAGTTGCTGCCGTGTTTTGGCTTAGGCCGTTCAGGAAAGCGGACTGCCCAGGGCGCGCTCACAGCAGCACCGCTCGGTGCTTTCTCGATCAACATCGAGAACCTGGGGCCGAGTGGAAAATCGCCAAGTCAGTGGTTTGATAGATTGGAACGCCAAGAGGGACTCTCTCTCTCTCTCTCTCTCTCTCTCTCCTCCCCCTTTCTCTCCCCCCCCCCTCCCCCTCCCCCCGCCCATCTCTCTTTTCTCTACCCTCTCTCAGTCGTCTTTACTCTCTCTCTCTCTCTCATCTCTCTCTCATCTCTCTCTCTCTCTATCCTCTTTCTTTCATTCTCTCTCTCTCCTCAAATCTCTCTCTCTCCCCATTTCTCTTTCTATGTCCATCCCTCTCTTCTCTTTTTGTTTTTTTTTCTCTTTCGCTATCTCTCTCTCTCTCTCTCATCTCTCTCTCTCTCGTCTCTCTTTCTCTCCCTCCCTGCTCTCCCTCTCCCTCCCTCCCTGCTCCTCGTCTCCCTCCTTTCTCCCTCCTCTCTCTCTCTCTGTTTGTTTGTTGTTTCCCGCTCCTCTCTCCTCTCTCTCTCTCCTCTCTCTCTCTCTCTCTCTCTCTCTCTCTCTCTCTCTCTCTCTCTCTCTCTCTCTCTCTCTCTCTCTCTCTCTCTCTCTCTCTCTCTCTCTCTCTCTCCAGTCTCGGCTCGAGAGTGCTCTGCACTCAGACCGCAGCCGCGACGCGAAGCGCCCCGCCTCGGAGTCAGACTCCCAGGCCTCGCGAGACCGGAGGGGTCCCAGCAGGACCCTACTGATTCGCGTCACCTCTCCGCACCAGAGTGCCCGCAGCAATGGCCCCCAAGAAGCCGGAGCGCCGTCACTCTTCAAAGCAGCCTCCGAGCTCCCGTCCCACGCGCCCTGCTGCTGAAGGGTCCCTCCTTCAACGCAAGCAGGACTGCATCGCAGCGTTCAAGCAAGCGGGGTCTGACCGCCCCACGGCCGCCTACAACGGGCTAGCCGAACTGAACGCGGACGAGCTCCAGGCAAATGTACGACATGCACAAGTCCAACACGAAGAAGCTTGGCAGCGCCCTTATCCGCATGTGCGCCGCCAACCAGATTAGCTACACGCTCGATCACCACCAGCGCAGTAAGCCTAAGCGCACTGGCGGTGACACATCGCACCCACCAGCGGGTTCCGCACGTCTCCAGGCTGCGGACGCCCAATTCATCGCCTTGGACCCTGCCTTTTGGAAGGTCCCTGTCCTTGCCGAACCCACCTCGCCTGACGACGGCAAGACGTACAAGCCCAGCATCAGCCTCCACGACTACGAGAGTGGTGAACGGCTGCTGCAGCACCACCTCGAGCAGGGCAAGCGAGCCACGGGTCAGCTCGCGATTGCTGTCATGGGCCCGAAAAACGACAACTACGTCGGTACCGAGCTCGCCGTCCCCGTCCTGAAGCGCCACCCCAAGGCGCCCAAAGTGGTCCACACGCACGTCCCCGTGATCGTGTACCAGCTGGGCACCAAGGAGGTCGCCTGCACGGAACAGGTAGCCGTCGCCACCATCGACCCTGCCGACCACGTCTGCTGGATTCGGGCGACCATACACGAGACCGAGGCCATTGCCGCAGTCCCCTCCATGCACCAGGCCTTCGAGGACCAGTTCTCGGGAGGTGCCCCCGTGAACGGTGGTCCACGCGCCAAGGGCCCTTTTCGAGGCGACTCCGCTCCACAGGACAAGGCGCGCCAAAAGCACAAGGAGTCCAAGAAAGACGCTCGCCGCCAGGAGCTCGATAGCCAGCTCCAGGACACCTTCAAGGCCCTCTTCCACGGCAACTTTAAAGCCGTCACCATCCTCGAACCCTGCAAAAGCCTAGGCAGGTTTGGATCGGGCGTCGGAAAGAGGTCCCTGGCTGCCACCTTCGGCGTCAGTCTCCAAGCGGTCGACAAGGTCCTGGCGGGATCAGGGCAACTCGGTGCCACCTACGACCTCAGCAACGTAGGTGCAGACGAGCCCACCGCCGACAAGTATCAGACCGTTTGGTTCCCTGAGGACCAGCCCATCACGATGGCAGACGCGCCAGAAGTCGGTGGAGTTCAAGGCCCTGGGAGTCGTCAGGCACGGCAAGTCAGGCCTGCTGGGGATCCGTGTTCCGCGGGGGTCCGACGTCGCCAAGGCCGCTGCTGTCAGCATCCGCGGCTGCGAGGCTACCCTCGCCAAGACGCGCTACCGCATCACTGGCATTGCGGCACGCCACGCCGCGCTGACCCAGCTCGCCAAGACTCTCACGGGCCCGTCCGTTAAATGGGACTGTGAGGTCTACCACACCGCCTGGGACCCAGCCACTGCGGCCCAGTTTGCCTTAGTGCGCGCTCATCGGCCCCCACTCACCTATACGGTGCAGGTCGCGGGGCGCCCCATCCCGTGGAGCATCACCGAGGCCCCGCTGGCTGAGGTGGCGCCGAAGCGGGACAACGTTACCATCGTCACGCCTACCACCATCACAGAGCCTGCGACGCCGCCAGCCGGTGGTGGCGGCTTTAGCCCCGCCGCCGGCACACTCCTCACCAAAGCGGCCCAGAGCCCCTACCTCCACGACCTCATGACTGCCACGCCCAAAGGCAAGGGCGTCGCACCGCTCCTGACCCCCAAGGAGGAGCCTTCAGCCAAGCGCCACCGCTCCTCCAGCGGGAAACGTGTCGCCACGCCGCACGCAAGGCCACCCTGCGCCCCAGGCCGCAGCTCCTCTGCGCCCCCGCGCGGCACGGACGGAGCCGCTGAACCGACTGCCGCCCCAGGACCAGGTGGCCGCGACCCCTGGCTTGGCACGGCGGCGGCAGAAGGTGGGGGCCACAACGAAGGCGACGCTGCCACAGCCGCCGAAGTACCAGGTGACGTCGTCGACGTCGAGATCCTCTCATCAGGCGATGAATACAGCGTGGCCTCCCACGAACTCAACACCTTCGGCGAGCGCTTCGCATCGGCCTCTAAACCGCCCGATGCTGCCACGACCCGCATCCAGCACATGGAACAGCAGCACGAGCTGCTAGCCAACACGGTGGATAACCTGCAGGTGCAGCTTGCGGGCGTTCTCTCCTCCCAGGCCACACTCACGGAGCACGTTTCAGGGCTGGAACGGGGGCTTGCCACCGTCGTCACCCAGCAACAGACGGCAACCGCCGACGCCGCTGCACTGCGCGGCGACATCAGACCCTCCTCGGGCACCTCACGGGAGGCACCATCCACCTGCCACAAGCGGCCACTCTGGAAACTAAGAAGGAGGAAGCCGCAGCGGCCGCCGAACCCGTGGCAGCCTGCAGTTGGATCGACCAGCCAGGCCAGGCTACCCCAGGGACGGGGCCCCCAGGGGCCGATAAAGGCAAGGACAAGGGTCGGGCCACCCAGGAACCCTATTGAAGGTGCCTCAGAGAGCCCGCCTCAGCCCTCCGAGGAAGCGCCTTCAGAGGCATCGCTCCCCTCTTCGCGTCGTATCTCTTTCTTGTTACCTCATGTCTGTTTTGGCAGCAGCACGCGCAAGCTATCTGGTGTAGGGACACCCGTAGTCTTGCAGGGAGCGTGATTGTAGCAATGTACATGAGCATTCAGGGGTATTTGAGGACGTGTGCTGCCACGCAGCTTTCGGCTCATCGCTCGCGCCGCCCGCCAGGCCTCGCCATCAAGTGGCGCCTTGCCTGCGGCCTGGCCCTCCCCTCGCTGGCTGGAGCACACCCGTCTTCAGGCGGTGCGCCCCAGCACGGAGGAGAGGCTTTCCTGCGACATGCGGAGCGTGGGAC